TCTTCTTCTTTTCTCTCTCTCTCTCTCTCTCTCTCTCTCTCTCTCTCTCTCTCTCTCTCTCTGAGACAGGGTTTCTCTGTGTAACTCTGGCTATCCTGGAGCTCACTCTGTAGAACAAGCTGGCCTCTAACTCAGAGATTAGACTGTCTCTGCATCTCGAGTGCTGGGATTCAAGGCACAGGCCAACACCGCCTGGCTTTTTTCTCTTCTTTAGAAAAAGAACGGGTGCACACCTTTAATCCCAGCACTTGGGAGACAGAGGCAGGCAGATCTTGTAGTTCGAAGCCAGCCAGGTCTACAGAGCGAGCTCCAGGACAGCTACACAAAGAAACTCTGTCTGGAAAAACCAATAAATAAGCAGGGTGGTGGTGGTGGCACATACGGGACGTAGAGGCAGGCAGATCTCTGAGTTCGAATCTAGCCTGGTCTACAAAGTGAGTTCCATTACAGCCAGGGTTGTTACACAAAGAAACCCTGTCTCGAATATACCAACAAAACAAAAAATAAAAACAAAACCAATAGATAAAATTTGTAATTATTTAGTGACTATGTGTATATGTGTATATGTAGGACATACTCTTGGAGGTCAGAGGACAGCTTCCCCGGAGTTGGTTTTCTCCTTCCATGTTCAGGCTTAACCTACTAAGACATTTCCTTGGTACATGACTTCAATTTCTTGTTTTGTTGTTTTGTTTAAATTGGAATTTTTGTAAAGGCCTGGACGGGATCGATGGGGGCGGGATAAAAGGAGCAGAGATCTTAACTAGATTAGTTTGGAAGAACACGTGTGCTATGAAAATAGAGAAAATGAATACTTGTGTTAACCTACTGTTCCTGCTCCCTGGAGAATCTCAGGTCCTGTTTCGTGTGTGTGTGTGTGTGTGTGTGTGTGTGTGTGTGTGTGTGTGTGTGTGTGTGGCAGCAGGGTTACTGCAACGAACACTCGGTGTGTAGTAGAGTGTGCAGAACGGCGACTTGGTGCCCAGGAGGAATTATTAGACATGCTATGAGAACAGCTTTACCAGGGAGGAGGAAAGTCTGCTTTAAATGCAACTCTCCCCTGACCTCGGCCAGGTCAGCTCAGGCTTGGAAGCCCGGCATAGGAGGGCGGGGCTATGGCTGTCATTTGAGTCCTATGCCTCGGCCTTTGGGAGCTGGTGTCACTCAGGCCTAGCTAGCCAATCAGGGCCTGGGAGCGCTCCGTCTAATCAGGAGCGCCGACGGGCAGCGAGAGGCGGGCTCCTATCGGCCGCCATACTGTGGGCTTGGCGCCGCGGCCGAGGGTACGCTGTGCGGCATCGCGAGCCCCGCCGCCGGGAGCTGTGCGGAGCCTCGGGCGACTCGGGAAGCCGCGCCATGGTGAGCGAGGGCGACCGTCCCAGCAGGCTGTGCTGCATCCTCCCCGGGGCTCGGGCGGGGCCGGCAGCGCTGTCCTGTGTTTTGTGGCGCCGGGCCCGGTATCCTCGGCCCACGGGCCGCGCCTGCGCAGAGCATCGCAGCGGGAGCCCCGCCCTGCACCGGGGGCCCCTCGCTGTACTGTGTGGTGCTGGCGGCTTGGTCCTGCTTTGCGTGTCTCATCAGAAAGCTGTGAAACTCTAGGTCGTCTAGTTATCTTATAGAAGTTCAGAATTTTGCATTTAACATTTAGGTCAAGCATTCAACTTGAGTTAATATTGTGAAACGTTAATCTTTTTTAAAAAATTGCTTTTATTTTATGTGCATTGGTGTTTTGCCGGTATGTATATCTGAGGGTGTCGGATCTCCTGGAACTGTAGTCGCAGACAGTTGTGAGCTTCCATGTGGGTACTGGGAATTGAACCTAGATCCTCTGGAAGAATAGCTAATGCTCTCGACTGCCCCATTATTAAAAGTTTGTCTGGTTAATTTCTTTGTGTGTAAAGGCATTGGTTCTGCCAATACATTTTACCACTCTCCATCTCGTTGAGTTTCCCTTGGTCAAAAGAAAAGGTTATACTTTTTGTGATTTTTTTCTTTCTTTCTTTCTTTCTTTCTTTCTTTCTTTCTTTCTTTCTTTTTCTTTTTCTTTTTCCCCTTTGGTTTTTCGAGACAGGTTTCTCTGTAGCTTTGGAGCCTGTCCTGGAACTAGCTCTTGTAGACCAGGCTGGCCTCGAACTCACAGAGATTCACATGCCTCTGTCTCCCGAGTGCTGGGCTTAAAGGCGTGTGCCACGACCACCCAGCATATAGTCTTAACTTAATTGGTAGTGTAACCGTAGGTCTGTGTGCTGTTCCACCGAAATTGTGTGTACCATTTTGAGTTTTTCCCTCCTCTCCCTATAAAATTCAGAATTAGTTTATTAGTTTTAAGTAAGTTAGGATTTTTATTGCCATTATTGAATTTATAGTGGTGGATTGAGGAAACCTGACATTTTAGTACTGAAGCTTCCTGTTTCTTAAGCATGGAGTATATTGCTAATTTTTGGATTAAAAACCTGTAGTCCTTGCTGGATGGGTTGGTCAACCGTTAATCCCAGGATTTGGGAGGAAGAGGCAGGCAGATTGAGGATAGCTTGGTTTACACAGGTAGAAAATTCCAGGTTAGCCAGGGCTCTGTAGTGACACCCTGTCTCAAAGAGATGAGTGGATGGCCTGTGGTGATGGCTCAGTGCTTAAGACAGTATTGTTCTCTGGGCAGTGGTGGCTCCCACCTTTAATCCCAGCACTCAGGAGGCTGAGGCAGGTGGATCTCTGAGTTAGAGGCCAGCTTGGTCTGCAAAGGCTTCTAAGCCACACAGAGAAACAGAGAAACCCTGTCTCTGAAAACCAAAAGAAAAAAAAGTCATTTTGCACTTATAAAGGACCTACCTCAAGTGGCTCACAACTGCCTGTAACTCCAGTCCCAGAACATCCAATGTCCTCTGCTGGCCTCCAAGGGGCTGGAGAGTTGGCTTAGCAGTTAAGAGCACTTGTTGCTCTTACAGAGGACACAGGTTCAATTCCCAGCACCCACATGGCAGCTTACAATCTTCTGTAACTAGTCTTGGGATACAGGCCTCCTCTGGATCCACAGGCACCAGGCATCCACACAGTATACATACATATATGCAGACAGAACACTAATGTGCATAAAATAATAAATCTAAAAATAAAGTAAGTTTTCTGTCAGTCAGAGAGGTGTACTGCCTCTTTTGGTATGTATCTAAAACTTAGACTTCCGCTTTGCCCTTAAGACTTTTTTGATTGTTTAAAGAAAATTAAAAATCTTTTTTTAAAAAACGTAGTTCTTGTCTAAAGGAATATTAAATTTATGTATAACTGTGTCTCCTTTCATCTGTGCTGCCGTAGTGGGTGTGATTTCACTGTTCGTCAGTTCCCTGCTGTTACACAGGACACTGGAAAGGACACTGGCAGACATTGTGTTCAACATTAAACAGCTCATGTTTTCTTATAGTTACTGGTTTTAGTCATATAGTTTCGTGAGTTTTTGTTGATTCTTGGAATTTATTATGAAGATAGTTTCTTTTTTCCTTGTCAATGCACCCTTCATCCCTTGCATGTGTGCAGGCCTGTGCGTACATTTTTTTTTACTTTTTAAAAGAAACCCATCCTTAGATAGTTGGTGGTGGTGCACAGCTTTAATTCTGCACAGGAGGCAGAGGCAGACGGATCTCTGAGTTAGAGGTCAGCCTGGTCTACAGGGTGGGTTTCAGGACAGCCAGGGTCACACACAGAAGCCGTGTCTTAAAAAAGAAAACAGTATATATTTTTTAATGCTCTTACTTTCTTTGAGGCAATGAGGCAAGGTAGCTTTGGGTAGCCTGAAACTTACTGTGTAGACAGGCTGACTTCAAATTCTTACAGCTCTGCCTGCCCCTGCCTCCCCAGGTACTGGGATTAAAGGTGTGCTCTACCATTCCTGGCCCTCATCCCATGCATTTTTATTTTTATTATTTATTTATTTATTTTGGTTTTTCGAGACAGGGTTTCACTGTAGCTTTGGAGCCTGTCCTGAAAGTAGCTCTTGTAGACCAGGCTGGCCTCGAATGCACTTTTAAAAGGACTAGTTTCTTTCTAAAAGATTTATTTCATGTATATAAGTGTTTTGCCTGCATGTAAGTGTGTGTACTTGGTACCTATGGCCAGAGGGCGTGCTAGACCCCATGAAATTGGAGTTATTGTTGATCATAAGGTACCAAGTGGGTTCCCTGCAAGAGCAACAAATGCTCTTCTGAGCCACCTCTCCACTCCTCTTGCCATGTATTTTTCCAATTATTGACATAATCATATTTTCTGCTTCTCTTGTTGATAGTGTAATACATTAAATTTAGAATTTTTTTTCCTTTTTGGGTGCCAGGGGTTGAGTTCAGGCTTTGTCCATTCAAGCATATGGTTTAGAACTCAACGTTTACTCAGCTTCAATTAAAATATTTTTTGTTATTGTTTATTTGTGTGTATGTGTCCAAGGAGGTCAGAGGGGTGTCAGGTGCCCTGGAACTGGGGTTATATGTTGCTATGAGCTCCCTGGGGTGGGCACTGGGATCAACTCTGCTGCTCTTTGGGAAGCAGAAAAAGACAAGATCTCCTGAGTAAATTGGGAGCGTGGGGACCATGGGAGAGAATGGGAGAGGAGCAGAGAACAGTGCATAACTCAATAAAATCAATTTAAAAGCAAACGATACATGCTCTTATATGCTGAGCCACTGCTCTAGCTCTCACCCCTTCTGTCCTGGACTGGCCGGGAGGTCACGGCATTAATACCACCTGCACTCTGGAACCCATTTGTGAGATCACAGATGTGTGCTACTATACCTGGCTGTGTGCTACCTTAGAAATACAGTTTAAGCTGGGTGGTGGCGGCGGCGGCGGCACACATCTTTAATCCTAACATTCAGAAGGTAGATGCAGGCGGATCTCTGAGTGTGAGGCCAGCCTGGTCCACAGAGCGAGTTCCAGGACAGGCTCCAAAGGTATACAGAAACCCTGTCTCAAAAAAAAAGAAAGAAAGAAAGAAAAATTTTCCATCTGTTTATAGTTGGTTTTTGTTTTTTCAACTTACTGTCTGTGTAGGATAATGTTGATGTCACAGTTTTAAATTATTTAAAGACAGAATCTCAATATGTAGATCAGGCTGTCCTTGAACTCAGAGCTCCACCTGCCTCTGCTTCCTGTGTGCTGAAATTAAAGATGTGCACCACCACTTTCTATCACTGTTTTAAGTTTCAGGGTTTTTTTTTTTTTTTTTTTGATAATCCATGCCCATTGAAACTGTTATCTCTCTTTGAATGTCTCTTGATATCTTTTTCATTTCTAAAAATTTTATTTCATCTAAATTAGAAGCGTTTGACCATGGGATTGCAGCATTTGTCCTTTTTGTGTGATTATGGTGCCCCCCCCCCCATAGGCCCATGTGTGTGACCCGATTGCCACCAGCTGGTGGGTGGCTCAGCTTTTAGTAACTCTAGCACTGAAGGGTCTGAGTGGTTCTGACCTCCATGGTCTGGAACACATGTGATACATACATAGAGACACTTAAACAGACACATGAATAAATATAAAAATAAAATCTTGGGGCTTGAGAGATGGCTCAGAAGTTAAGAGAACTGGCTGCTCTTCCTAAGGTTCTCAGTTCAATTCCCAGCAACCACATGGCAGCTTGCAACCATCTGTATTGAGATCTGGTGCCCTCTTCTGGCATGGAGGTGTATAGCCAGGAGGAATATTGTCTATATAATGAATAAATCTTAAAAACAATAAAATTTTTAAAAATGTTATGACATCATCTCATTGTATTACTGTTGGCTAAAAATAAAATCCTCAAAAAACATGCGCGCGCGCGCGCACACACACACACACACACACACACACACGGCCTGAGCATTTGAGACTAGTCATGGCGGCACAATTGTTGTCCTAGCACTGGGGAGGCAAAGGTAGGTAGATACCATAAGATTGAGGCCAGCATGATCTATATAGTTAGTTTCAGTCCAACTACTGCTACATAGTGAGTGAGACCTTGTCACTATGATTGTTGCAATAAATATCCCTGGAAGTCAGTTTCTGTGTTCTCCAGGGTTTGCTGTCCCTTTGTTGAGGCCTCAGTTTGCCATTTGTTTAGTATTACCAAAGTTTTTGTTACCAGAACTATTGCCTATGTGTTGGCAATCTGCCTCCGAGTGCACTTTGTATCTAGTTGTTGTTTTTCACAGATTTCTTTGAGTGTCAAGAGTTAAGAAGCAAGACTGGAAAAGGCACATGTGAACATCTTTTAACGCAGCCAGCCTTTGTCCTTCTGTGTCAGGCATATTTTCTGCTGATCCAGCTTCGAGAGAAATTGGGGCTCAAGATGAGAACCTTTTCAGATGTTTTCTGAAAGTGTCTTTTCAACATGCCTTGATATGTGTGTGCTTTTGAAGACCTCAGTTCCTAAGAGAGGATATGTTTTAAAATTTGCCTTTTGTGTCAACTTTATAGTTTGTATGTTCTTGAACTATTTTAGGTAAGACATGCACTATTGTTCCTATAACTATTAGGCAAGACTCTGACATTTACTAAACAGCTGTTAGTCCTTGTCAGATTAGAAATATAAGTTTGGTTGACTACAAAAAAGCCTGTGAGATTTATGGACTACTTCTGCTACATTGAGTTTTTCCTAAAAAGATAGACCATCCTTCTCTTAATTCTATCATGCTCTAGCATTACTTAATTAAAATTGAAACGTTCCGCTCAGGGCTAATGAGATGCCTCAGTGGGTAAGGATCCTGGGGCTAAACCTGTGTTCATCCTCTGACCCGCACATGGGAGAAGAAAACCCAGTCTTGTAAGCCGTTCTCTGAACTCCACATTCACCCCCAAAATAAATGAATGTAATTACCCCTCCCCGCACACACTTGTTCTGAGAAAGGGTCTTACTCTGCAGCTCTGATTGACTTAGAACTCAATATGTTACACTCCGATGGCCTCAAACTCAAAGCGATCCACTTGCCTTTGCCTGCAGAGTCCTGAGATCAAAGACTTGTGCTGCCATGCTCCATGTAGTTTTATTTACTCTATAAAGTATAATTTCCATTTTATTTTATTCTTCCCCATGTGTGTTTTTTTTTTAATCTGTCTTCATGAAGCCAGCTCTTTACGTGGACTTTCAGAGGGCAACACCAGTGGATCTAAGTCATGGTGAGTGTTTGTTTCTTCCAGCCTCCATGATCAATTCTTGACCACCTTACTTTGAGTGGCACTCCTCATACAGTAGTGCAGCCTGGCATAGGTGTAGCATACGCATAAGCGTCGATGATACTGATGGCAGAGGCTCTACTGTGTTTGGAACGATGAACTTCTTACTGCCCTTGTCCTTGGGTACTCCCTGGGCTTAGCTGGCCCCTTTTTACTATGGTGAGTCTTTCTTTTTTGGTCATCGTGTAGGCAAGACCTGAAGAGTGTAATTAAATTATTAAATTACTTTGAGAATAATTTAGTCTTTTTGGTTTTTTGAGACAGGGTTTCACTGTAGTTTTAGAGCCTGTCCTGGAACTCACTTTGTAGACCAGGCTGGCCTCAAACTCACAGAGATCCACCTACCACTGCTTCCCAAATGCTGGGATTAAAGGTGTGCGCCACCACCATCGCCCAGTTATTTATTGTTGTGGGTGTTTTACTCTTTTGGTTTTTTGGGGGGCCTGCCACTCAGCTCCCAGATACGTCACACACAGAGGCTTACTCTTAGTTATGAGTGCCTCACCTTGGCTTGTTTCTTGTGAACTCTTCTTAAAAAAGCCTCTGGGCTTTTTTATCTTTCTCTATTTCTGTATACCTTTCCGTCTTACTCTGAGCCTGGCTGGGTGTCTGGCCCGAGACGTTCTCCTCTCCTTGTTCTTGTGTTCCTAGTTCTCTTCTGCTCATGTTTCTCTTATTTATAGTCTCTGCCTGCTAGCCCTGCCTGTCCTTGCTCCTGCCTTGCTATTGGCCGTTCATTTCTTTATTAGGACCATCTGGTGTTTTAGACCGGCACAGTAACGCAGCTGTGAGGACCATGCTTTGACAAGTATACAACTTACCAGGGCATGAGGGTTAGACTAGTAAAGGGTACGAAGACTCAAGTGAAAATGATGAAACAGAAAACAGGATAGTACGGGGAGGGAGTTCCAGGGAAGACTGCCTGCGTTTAATTTTCCATACGCTTTTATATCCAGTACAACGGGGAAGAAGTGAAAGGACAACTAGAGCAGTTGTTTGCTTCACACTTTGAACCATCAAGTCATTAGCATTCTGTTGTTCAGGCAGTGAACCCACCCGAGACCAAGTATCCTGAAGGCAGCCACTCCCTAGGTCAAACCTCCTATTTCAAAAGAAGGAGCAAAAGTATGCTTGAATTTCTGACCATTGGTCAGGGTGGAGTGGATCTACCTATATGGGCCATCATCCTAATGTCAAAAACACCAAGTGACCACACCCGAGGTCAGGATGTGTAGCCACACTTGTCAACAACTTTGAACAAGCTAAACTGACCTTCAGACAAGGTGGAAATAGGCTCACATTTTTGGGCCTCCACACACACCTTCACAGTTAAACAAATGTAGCGTAAACAAAAGTCACTCACCTGAAAATAATATTCCTCAACAACTTATTTTTGTTTTTTTCTTTAGATTTATTTACTTTAGTATTTTTATGTGTGTGTATGAGTGTTTTTCCTACATGTATATATGTTCACAACATGTGTGTTTCTTGCCTGCAGAGGTAAATAAGAAGAGGTTTTGGATCTTTGGAACTGGGGTCACAGATGGGTGTGAGCTGCCATGTGGGTCCTGGGAATCGAACCTGGATCTTCTGCAAAATCAACAAGCACTCTTAAACACTGAGCCATCTCTTCAGTCCCTATATCTTTATTTTGAGGGAGGCCTGGAACTCCCTATGTGGACTAGGTTGGACTTCAGCTCACAGAGATCCACCAACCGACTAGGCTGGACTTCAGCTTACAGAGATCCGCCAACCTTTTCCTCTTGAGTGCTGGTATTAAAGGTGTTCACTTTCATGTGAAAAGTTGAAATCTTTAAATATTGATCATCTAGTATTTATATGAGTTGATTTAATTTGTGATACAGGGGAAATTGGGATCCCCTTTGGGGGTTCTTTGTCTCATTAATAAAAGAATTTCAGAATGCACTCACAGAAGCACAAGGCCAATTTTATCAGTGTTTAAAGCAGGGCAGGTGAGCTTCCTGGAGGCGAAGGGGGAAGCCATGGAGGCATGGAGGGAGATGCATAGCCAACAAGCAGTATGGTGGCGGGGAGCTTTAGAGAAGGAGTTAAGGGAACACAAAATATTGGGGTGGAGGACAAAGAGTTAAAGTATGCTTAGAAAAGAGATAGAGCCAGGCTGTGGTGGCACAGAGCCAGGCTGTGGTGGCGCACACCTTTAATCCCAGCACCTGGGAGGCAGAGGCAGAGGCAGAGGCAGAGGCAGAGGCAGAGGCAGAGGCAGAGGCAGAGGCAGGTGGATCTCAGTGAGTTTGATGTAGCCTGGTCTACAAAATGAGTTCCAATGTAACCAAGACTATTAAACAGAGAAGGACTATTACACAGAGAAAGCCTGTCTCGAAAAGCCAAGTGACCGACCAACTGACCAACCGACCAACCAACACAAAAGAGAGAGGAGGGAAAATATGCTTTTCTGAGAAAAGCTGGGCAGACTTAACCCTATGTGATTGTGGTGGGCCAGGGATTCTGGAAAGGGAAAGAAAGTAACTCACTGAAGAACGAATGACTGCAGCTGTCTCTTTAGCATAGCGAGCCGCCTTCCTAGGGAACTCCCTTTGCCAGAGTGGTGGAATCGGCTGAGCTGGAGTGTTAGATCTCCACCCAGGCATGAGAGACTGTTCTCTCCCCTAACATTTGGACTGAAGTAAGCTGTACGCTGGAGTCTTAATGATTTCTTTTTCTGTTAGCACATAGGATGGGCTCATTTCCCCATTTAAGTGGTGACAGCATTTGTGACTAGTGCTTTAGCTTCTTGAGCCATCTAACCTGCTACTACTTCAAGGAAGTTCGTCACACACATTGTCTTTGGCTTTTCTGAGTTTGTAAGGAAAATGGTTCTGAATTGCCACAGTATTCTTATAACTCATTGTTCTGAGTGGTTTATTCTCATTTTTGTGTTTGTTCATGAGCTCTCCCCATTATCCTGTTCTGTCCACCCAGCAAACCTTAAACTCTGTACACATAGATGTCTAAAGACAGACAGCTCTGTTCTGAGTACAGATGGTGGGACTTTCTGTGAGTGAGCATTGGGTTAAGCTGCCCTGTACTCTAATTCCCAGGCCACTTAACGAGAGCAGTGTTTTTGCTTGAATGTTGCTGTTCACAGCTGTTCAGTGTTTGCATTAGAGCTCCTCTGTTTTGAGGTACATGTGGAGATTGCAAACATACGTGAACACTTTTATCAGTTGAGTACACATTCGGAGTCCTGTCAGCTGTTTTATTAAAAAATTAATTTTTATTTTCTGTATATGGTGTTTTGCCTGCATGTTTATCTTTATGATTGTATCAGATCCTAGAGTTACAGACAGTTGGGAGCTGCCATGTGGGTGCAGGGAATTGAATTTGGGTATTCTGGAAGAGCAGTCAGTGCTTTTAACCATTGAACCATCTCTCATCCGCTCACCCCCACGCCATCAGTTCTTTTATACATATGTGTGGGATGTTTTAGGACCTGGTGAGCTTTGAGGACGTGGCTGTGCACTTCACCCAGGAAGAGTGGGCTTTGCTGGATCCTTCCCAGAAGAGTCTGTACAGAGATGTGATGCTGGAGACCTGCAGGAACCTCGCTGCCGTGGGTGAGACTTGTGCTTCTTTTCCTTAGCTAAGTTAGAGAGCAAGTGTTTCCCTCTTAGAAATGGTCTTGTGTGATTTGGGTATAGAAAGGGAAGAATTTGGTGAGTAAGTGACAGAATAGTAGCAGGTTAGATGGCTCAAGAAGCTAAAGCCTGATGGAGGGGCTGAGCCAGTTCCCGAGGTGTCTTTTTTTTTCTTTTTTCTTTTTTTTTTTTTTTGGTTTTTCGAGACAGAGTTTCTCTGTAGCTTTGGAGCCTGTCCTGGAACTAGCTCTTGCAACCCAGGCTAGCGTTGAACTCACAGAGATCCGCCTGCCTCTGCCTCCCAAGTGCTGGGATTAAAGACGTGCAACACCACTGCCTGACACAGTAAGCACTCTTAACCCCTGAGCCATATCACCAACCCTTCTTTTATCATCTTAAAAAAAATTGTTGCCAGGCTGTGGTGGCACACACCTTTAATCCCAGCACTTGGGAGGCAGAGGTAGGAGGATCTTTGTGAGTTTAAGGCTAGCCTGGTCTAGAGTGAGTTCCGGGACTGTCTCCATAGCTACTGAGAAATCCTGTCTTGAAAATATGATGATGATGATGATAATGATGATGAGGATGACGACGATGACAATGACGATGAAGATGATGAAGATGATGATGATGAAGATGATGATGATGACGATGATGAAGATGACAATGATGATGAAGATGATGATGACGATGACAATAACAACAATGACGATGATGATGAAGATGAAGAAGATGATGATGGTGAAGATGATGACAATGATGATGACGATGATAATGAAGATGATAACGATGATGATGATGATGACAATGACGATGATGATGAAGATGAAGATGATGATGACGACGAAGATGAAGATGATGAAGACGAAGATGATGATGACGATGATGATGATGATGATGATGATGATGAAGAAGAAGAATATACGTGTGAGGGGCATTGAGGGGATGTGCGTGTGTGTGTAAGTGCAGGAGCCCCTGGAGGGAAGAGACTTGGGATTCCTCTGAAGCTGGAGTTGCAGTAGGGGTTGTGTGCTGCCCAGTGTGGGAAATGGGAACCAAAGTTGTGTTCTTGCATGAAAGGTAAGTATTCTTAACCAGGGAGCTTTATTTCCATCTTCTGGTTTTCAGAAATTTCTGACCTTTTTTTTCAAAGTAGGGTTTCACCATGTAGATGAGTTTGGCCTTGAACTCACAGAGACCACCTGCCTCTGCCTTCTGAGTGCCTAGGTTAAAAGCATTTGCCACCACCTCCAGCTTTGTTTTCATTAATTTCTAATAATTTATCATAAATTTTTGGTACTGTATTTTAGGCTATATATGGGAAGAACAGAATATTGAAGATGGCAAAAATTTTGGAAGATATGAAAGGTAATTTGCATGTATAAGTGGAATCAAATGTCTTATAGAAATTTTAACATGCCTTATAAACTTAATTAAATCACAAAGAGAAATCACTTTTAATTTATCCATCATTAGAAACTTCTCATCAAAAATATGCACTTCAGTGTGAGAATGCTACTTAGTCTTTGCAACGTAATCCCTTGGATGCAGTGCCAGTGAATGTCACTGTTTGAGATAGCTCTGCGGGAGGCCTATTGTCGGGAGCCACCAGTCGTTCAGGTTCACACCAGCGTTCTGTCTGGCAAAAAGGATACAGTGGAAACAGTGTTGACCTGGACCTTAATAATAAGCAGTCAGTAGAAACTAATTTGGTTGTCTTTTTGTTTTGCTTTGTATTTTTAAGACAGAGTCTCTCTGTGTAGTTCTGGCTGTCCTGGAATTGTCTCTGTAGACCAGGCTGGTCTCAAACTCACAGAGATCTATCTGCCTCCACCTTCTGAGTACTGGGATTAAAGGTGTGCACCACCACCACCCAGCATCTTGTTTTTGAGACAGGTATCACTGTGTAACTCTGACTGGCCTGGACCTCATTATGTTAATCAGACTGGCCTCTAGCTCCCAGAGACCCACCTGCTTCTTGGGATTAAAGACATGCACCTCCAAGCCTGGCTGCGTGTCATGTTTCATAGAAGTTGTAGATTAGAGAGTAAAGAGGGTGGGCAGGGTGTCAAAAACCTAAATCCTTGTACCAGACCTCAATATGAGTGTCCTGCTTCCTATTGCTGTTAAAGCTCTGTGACTGTCATGTCTGTGAAGAGGTTTTCATGTGTCACTCATCCTTTAACAGACACATCATATCTCACTCTGAATACACTCCATATGAGCATGAGGACTATGCAAGCAAGCCCTACGATTCCAGTTCTCTCACAAATATTCATACGTATGTGGGTGCTCACGCTGTGAATGGACCTTGTGAATGTGAGGTATGTTTAAAATCCCTTGGTTTTACAAGTACATTTGGAATTTATCACCAAACTCAGAGTGGAGAAAACTTCTGTGACTACAAGGAATGTGGAAAGCCTTCAGTTTATCCTAGCTCACTTTACACACACGGAGGAACTCACGTTGTAAGGAAATGCTATGAGTGTAACCAGTGTGGGAAAGCTCTGAGTTCTTCCAGTTCCCTTCAAAGGCATGAGAGAATTCACACAGGAGAAAGACCCCATAAATGTAACCAGTGTGGGAAAGCTCTGAGTTCCTCCACTTCACTTCAGAGGCATGAGAGAATTCACACAGGAGAAAGACCCTATAAATGTAACCAGTGTGCGAAAGCCTTTAGATGTCACAGTGCCCTTCAGTTACATGAAAGAATCCATACTGGTCAGAAGCCGTATGAGTGCCAGCAGTGTGGGAAAGCCTTTACATGTCACAGTTACCTTCGATTACATGAAAGGACTCATACTGGAGAGAAACCCTATGAGTGTAAGCAGTGTGGTAAAGCCTTCAGATGTCAAACTTCCTATCATAGACATAAAATTATTCATGGTGGAGAAACAGTCTATGAATGTAAACAATGTAGTAGGCTCTTCATTTACCCGTCTTTACTTCAGATGCACGAAAGAACTCACACTAGTGAGAGACCATATAAATGTAAAGACTGTGGCAAGTCATTCCTCTACCCCTCTTTACTTCAAATGCATGAAAGAACCCACACTGGTGAAAAGCCCTATGAATGTAAACAATGTGGTACAGCCTTTAGACATCACTCTTCCCTTCGACTGCACGAAAGAACTCACACGGGAGAAAAGCCCTATGAGTGTCCACAGTGTGGGAAAGCCTTTACTCGTCACACTTCCCTTCGATTACATGAAATAACTCACACCGGAGAGAAACCTTATAAATGTAAAGAATGCGGAAAAGCCTTTAGACATCACTCTTCCCTTCGGTTGCACGGAAGAATTCATAGTGGAGAGAAACCCTATGAATGTAAACAATGTGATAAAGCCTTTATACGGTACAGTTACCTTCGATTACATGAAAGAACACACACAGGAGAAAAACCTTATGAATGCAAGCAATGTGGGAAAGCCTTCAGCCGTCACAGTTCCTTTCAGAGACATAAATCTATTCACGCTGTGGAAAACCCCTATGAATGTCAGCCGTATCTAATTCCTTTATCGCTGTTTCCTCCAAATACATCAGATAACTCATACTGGTGAAAAACACTATGATGTGAACAGTGTGTTAAAATGTTTATCCTTATCCACTTAAAACACATGTAAGAACTGAAGATGTCACATGATAAACCTTATCCATAAACGATATGGTTTAGACTTTAAATGTACTAAGGAATTTATTGTAGGTATAGTTTCTACAAATGTGCAGTATGTGGTAAGTCCTTTCACAGAAACAAACTAATTCATGCGGGGAAAATGCCTTATGAATGGAAACGATATGGTTAGTCTTTTATCCCTGTTTGCTTCAGACACATGAAAGAACTGAAAATGCAAAATGCCGTGAGTGTTGGCAGCATGCTGGAGCCTTCAGAAGATGCAGGTCCCTTTGTTAACATGAAAGACTCTTACTGGAGGGAAAGAAACCGCATGATGTTTAGATGTCATTGCTCCTGTAGATTCTGTGAATGGACTACTGGAAACAGTTCTGTGAGCGAGAGCGCAGCTGACACCTTCAAGCTCACAGTTCCTTTCAAAGGTGTATAATGATTGATGGTGGGACAAGGCCTTATACATGTAAAAAGTATGGTAAGTTTTTGGTTGCTTGGAGAGGGACAGGCATTTTTTGTTGGTAGTATAGCTACCTGTAAGTTGCCTGTGTTCAATAAGCCCAATTAGATTCAGTGGTTCCCCAGGCTGCACTTAGATGGAATCATTGCTTTGTTTCTATCCTCAGTGCTCTTGCTTGTTCAACATGTGTCCAGAAAATGTTCACACAATACTTGGCACACAAATGTGGAGCTCAATGGAACCAAAGATGAGTTTGAGAGGAGCACTTGCCTTTCTCTGCTGTGGGTGATGAGACATGGCCTTGAACAGGGCGGATCATCTGCAGTTGATTATCAAGTGGCTATCTTTTCAGTACGCCATGGAACAGTGTGCCGCCTTGTTGCAGTACCAGTTGCGTTGTTTGTACTGTGCAACTCCTCTAGTATGGAGTGCTCCCCTTCTGTGACAAAGAGCTTTGCCACATGAACCTTCCCCTCCCTCCCACAGCTGTCAAGTTCAAGAGTGTATTACAGTTCCTGTAAGTAGCACAGACGGAATAGAATTAAGTAGGCATCAGGTGCACGGCCCTTCATTGGGTAAGAAGACATGCAAATAAGCCTTCGCTGTCTACTAGCATGAACTTGCCCCTTTGGTGGAGGGATTGTTTGAGGAAGAGATGCAGATGCTGTCCACTGTATTGGCCTTCAGATTGGCAGGGAAACTAAGGAAGGAGGGTGGGAGTGAGGATGGGAACAAATGCCGGCTTCCAGTTTTTTACATCTGGAGATGGCATAAGGGGAACAAATGAAAAGTTCTGTCTGCTGAGTAGTCCCTTTGGGATCTAAAATGTGAAGCCTATATAAAGTTTTGACCAGTGAGGGAGAGAAGTAGAAGTGGTGATAATGTTCCCCTTCGTCCTGACTTTTACTACGGAAGAGTCCGAGCGCAGTGGCCCAGCCTGTGTATGGAGGACTAAACAGTGGCCCAGTAAAAGGAGCTGTGATAATCAGTAAATATTCTTTTTTTGGAAGGCTGTACAGCTTGAGAAAAAAAAAAAAACATAATGAAGAAAGATTTGATAAAGCACTGCAGCTGAAAAGTCCAAGCTTTTGCTGGAGTTGTTTCCCCAGAATAAGTTGTGTGCTCTCCTGCAGAAAAGCGTGCTTGTGCGTAACCTGTTTGTTCAGCTCAGGACCCTCTCAGCAGCTAGGGGCGTCCGCTGAAGAGGCAGCAGTGTGCTACAGCATGGGCCTAGAGGCTGTCAGTCCCAGGAAGTCCACGGGAACACAGCAGGTGATCATGTCTGGGCTTCCCCTGGGCTCCTACACCAGTGAGAGAACAAGAACCAGCTCTTTCCCCACCCAGGCTGCATGCAGGATGAGGGTGCAGACGGCTCATGAAGAATGATGGTTCAGGGTAGGGTGCACCTCCCTCTGCAACACTGGATCCAGTACTGATTTTGATTTTTTTTTTCCCTTGAGGCAAGTTTCTAGGTAGCCCAGACTGGCCTCAAATTCACTATATAGCTGAGGATAATCTTGGAAGTCCTGATCCTCCTGCCTCCTCTTTCTAAATACTGGGGTTGCATGCATGAGTCACCCCATCTGGCTTCCTGTGCTTTGAAACAGTCCCAGGCTTCACGCATGCACTCTCCGCTATGCTGTGTCCTCTGGTCAACACTGAGGAAACACTTGGTACAGAATCTTCATGGATCTTTTTAATATTTGTTTATTGCCCTCTTCACTCTTCCTGACTCCCCAGTCCAGCTAGCACTTGTTTGATCCTCCAGTGATCCTGATACCCCTGTGTAAATAGGTTTCTTTCACTTCACCGCTGACATAACGCTAGCCTGTGAGTGTTCCACAGAGTTAGAAAAGCATCTGTGTGAGCTAAAAGAATGACGATCAGAAGGGCAGCACACATACATGTGCGCAGGGCAGGCACATGGGAAATTCTTGTGATGTTATGGTTGGGTAAGATACGTGATACAAAATAAGGAGAGTGAGGGAATTCTTTCGCAGCCAATGGCTGACATTAAGCATTACAAGAACAGTTGAGGAGCTCGAGTGAAAGTGCCCTGTGTGCGTGGGCAGAGATTTTCAGAGCATAGACTCCTCAGTGACGATGCAGTGTTGGGTGGGCTACTTCTCCAAGAGATGTCCCAGAAGTCCCTAGACAGTGCTGGCTGTTGCCAATGCTCTTTGTTGTCCCTAGAACTAGAGTTAATACTGTTCCTGAAGACACCACATGCTTTGGTTGCTGAATGTGGAGAAAACAAGCTGAAGCTGAGCTGGAAGTGTCCTTCTTGCTGGCCAGCTTTAGAGGACCTGGAGGTGCAGGCTCCGAACCCTGTATGTTACTAAAATTGGCAAGCAAGATGTGCCTACTAGGGCTGGTGAGATGGCCCAGCTGGTGAAGGTGCTTGCTGCCAAGACTGGCAACTTGAGTTAGATCTCAGAACCCACGTGATGGAAAGAGAACTAAATCCTGCAAGTTGTCTTCTGACTTCCTCATTCATGGTGATGCTGTGGTATGCATCTTCCTTGTACAATATAGAAATAAATGTCATAGGCTCTGTGACTGTAGTGGCATGACTTAATGAGAGTGGCCAAATGCTGCAGGGCTCAATTCACATCTCTAAGACCCATCCGCAGGCTATGGCTAGAGAGTCATAGGCCCTGGTGGTAAAGCTATTGGTGTTTGCCTAAACGGGTATATTTCTGTGAAATGACTGTATCGGGTTCTGTGTTTAATGCTTGTAGACTGTTGCTCCAGTCAGTTTTTGGAAAGAGAAGCTCCTTTTTGCTGTAGGCAATAGTTACTGATGAGATTTTATCACCCTTTTCTAGGCTTGGCACATTCTGGAAAAGGGGATACCAGAGGAAGGGATGGCATGCTTTGGAATGCTGCCCTTTGAGCATGCCATTGTCCTTGAAATTTCAGTACCTTTGATGACCTGCAGGAGGCCCACACAAGATTGCCTTTCGTATTCATGTGGAAGGATGGGCACGGGAGCCCTGGCACCTTCCCTGACGATACAGGCAGTTAATATTCACTACAGGGAGGGATCCGGAGACCTTTGTCTCTCCCTGAATATATTTTTTTGTTTTGACTTTTTGAGACAGAACTTCTCTGTGTAGCTCTGGCTGTTCTGGAACTCACCCTGTAGACCAGGCTGGCCTCAAACTCACAGAGATCCGCCTGCCTCTGCCTCCCTAGTGCTGGGATTAAAGGTGTGTGCCACCATGTCCAGCATATACCTGAGTATTTTTAGACAGTTAATGATATTTAGACAAGACCTCCCTCCTCCTCTGAATATTAAAGCAGATAAAGGGAGAAACCCTTTCTTCAGTGGAATACCTACCTATGATTTTCCATGTTCCTGTCAGTAGCCCTAATTAAAATAATTGGTTGATCAAGCTGTACTTGTGTCAAATCTTTTCCGTGTTTCTGTGTTTGGTGCCCTTGTCAGAGGTGGACAGACACTCAGACCTTAGAAAGTTCACATAGTTGTATTGGTTTGTGTTTGGGCTTTTTTGTTTTGTTTTTCGAGACAGGGTTTCTCTGTGTGACTGGTCTGACTGTCCTGGAATTCACTTCATAGAATAGGCTGACTTCGAACTCACAGAGATCTGCCTGCCTCTGCATCCTGAGTGCTGGGATTAAAGGTGTGCACCACCACCACCTGACTACACATTGTACTGTAATGAGTTACATTGACAAACTGTCATGTTGCTTAAGTTTGTTGAGAGCAGACTGGGAGGGTGCACTCTCCCTTTTTCAGATTCAGACATGTTTTTCTCAGGTTTTCTCTATCCTACCCTGGTGGTGACAGGAGGAGGTTGTTCAGCAGTAGCTGTGGATATTTAAAGCATGGTGGTTCTGGGCAGTGGTGGTGCACTCCTTTAATCCCAGCACTTGGGAGATAGAGGCAGACAGATCTGAGTTTGAGGCCAGCCTAGACTACACAGACAGGTCTCGGGTGTCACCTTTGTGAACAGACAGGAGGTGAACCATCTCAAGGTTGCAGTGGAAATAAAATCCAGATGCTGATAACCTCAGCGATGCTTCCCTGGTGTATTTCTGCTGGGTTTTCCAAGTGTCACTTGTTTGCTTTTTTATTATTTTCTTATTTTATACATTCACGTTTTGCCTGTATGTAGGTCTGTGTACCACATATGTGCCTGGTACCCATGAAGCTGGAAGAGGGCACTCTCTCCACTGACCTCCTTACGCACCATGGCACCACTGTGCGTGTGTGGAGAGGCAGAGAAGAGCAGGTGCGTGTCCCTCCCCTCCACCGAGAAGTGGGGTAGACCAGTACTCTTTCTTCCTAGACCAGCTGCTCCCATATTTTTGGTGGATGCAGTGGGTCGACCAGATGGCTGGGCCCTTTTTCTTTTTTTGAAAATAATACATCACACACACACACACACACACACACACACACACTCGTTGACCAGTTGGCTCTGTGTATTTTATTATTATTTTTTAAATGATAGAAGCAGGTCGACGAATTGTCCTATAAAGTGTTTTGCCTTAAAAACAAAGTCACGACTGGACTCTTTTTTTTTTTTAAATACATTCTACATACACAGGGAGACAGATTATTGTGAGCCGCTATGTATGTGTGGAAATTGAACTCAGAGCAGTCAGTTCTCTTAAGCTTGAATCATTTCTCCAGCCTTGCCCACCCTTACCCCCTACTTGCTTCTTGACTGTGCTGCTCCAGTCTTCTGGGTGTGGTTATTTTCTCATAGAATATTTTGCTCTTCACTTACTAATTCTTCCTTCTGCTTGCTGTTTATTCTTGTTGGTTTATTTGAGACAGCGGCTCACTTTGTTACGTGGCCCTGGCTGGCATAGAACTTATGTATATTAGCCTAGCCTGGAACTCACAAACATCCGCCTGCCTCCGCCTGGCTTTTTTATTAAATTTTAATTGTGTATGTGTGTGTACCTCAATGAACAGAGGTCATGGGGGTCCTGGAAACCAAATTTAGGCCACCAGTACTGGGGGCAGGCTCTATGCCATTTTACCGGCCCTATTGTTTTAATGTTCTTGCTCTATATTTAATATATATATATATGTATGTATATATATATACTTGTTAAGTATGCATAATAAATTCACTTTTTGGAAACAGAGTATGGTCTTAATCCAGACTGTACTGGACACATGTGAGAGTTGGATGAAGGTGAGTGAGGTGATAAGCCCTCTTTATCCACATCTATTCCCTATGTCTGAAGGATCTCGCAGTGTCTGATTTTTGTGATAGGAGCAGCAGGCTGCTTCCCACCACCCAGCTAGCTTTACCTGAAATAATGTA